GTGTCTAGAAGTTCCCCAAAAAATTTCAACTCCTGATGTTTTATATGTTAGACCTCAAGTAAGCAATATTTTGAACTGAGTTATACAATGTTTAAAATTTAGTTCCTCATTTGTAAGTTTTCTGTCTGTTAAAATCATTCCAACAGTTCTACTCCCCTATTTTATTATCCCCAGAAATCTTTATTAAGATGTTTAACAAAATCCTTGAATATTAGCCTCCTTTGCCAGAGAATTGAATTTGAATGGGTGTCTTTCTGACATAGACTAGAATTTTTTAAGACTACTTTTACTGTACTCATAACAATACACACAGCAGATATAGATTTAGCGAAATTTAATACCATCTTAGTCAAAATTGAGTGGCTTTATCATGATAATTTGTATTTTATCAATATATATGTTGAAATTGTGTATGGAATCAAATGCTTTTATTTTCTGGTTTTCCTTGTAGTTAATCAGCTACTTAAAAAAAAATAGGGCATTATATAATGTAAAACGAGCTGCAAATCTAGGAGAAAGGATGGAAGAACCCGAGATATAGCATTTTAAAAATACTATCATTTCCCATGAAAAATATTTAATTTCCAAAATGTTTACATTGTCTTTTAGTTTTTGCTTTTGTTTTCTGAAGCACTGATGATTGAACCCAGGGCTTTTTCACTGCGCTACCACACCAGGTCACTAAGTTGTCTGGCTGGATCCAAACTCGCTATCCTGAGCCTTCAAGGACTGGGCTACAGGAGCCGGCCATCATCCCTGACCTCCAGCAAGCTTAACATATACTAAGCACTAAATCTCCAGGATTCAATAGCTACATCTTTGTGAGTTTAGTTAGATGCATACATTCTATCCAGGGAAGACAATAGTCATCCACTCACATGATTTTATTATTCAAACAATTTTAAATAGGCTTTCTATTGCCATGTTGAATCAGGAAATTTACATGGCTTTCTTTGGAAAGTAAGAATTAGTTTGAGGTGTGAAAAAAATCTTTATGTACAATCAATTTTTTTGCTTCATGTTTCTGTATTGTTTTGAGGGAATATGTGCCATCTTCTCTACATGGGATTCTTAACACAGAATGATGATGACAGATTCAGAAATGAAACTAACAGGAAGTAAGAGGTCAGCGTGAAGTGCACAGTCTCCTAGGCTATTGAAACCAGACTTCGTTAAACCATAGCCAAGGAACCTGGACCTTGTTTCCATGGATGAGATGCACTTAGGCTTTAAGAATGGCTATTATGGTCCTTAGGTTGGCATTTGAGCTTTAGAATCTGGTTTGTTGGTAGAGTCTTTTACATTTTGAATAGAAATAACCATTTTACAGATAAGTTTTTCCTTTTACTCCTTCCATATGTTATTTATTGTGAATGATAAATTGACCGCTTTATCTATGAAATTGACATATATGTTATATTTCTCAAAATTTCTCCATTAAGTAAAGGTTCAAGTTTATTGTATAAAATTATTTGTAATGTTTACTTATGATTTTTTAAGATGCTTATTTTACCTGTTATAATGTGCCGCTTTGTGGTAATAATATTTGTGACTATTTGTATTTTTTTCCACTTACCAGTTTTCCTTGAAGTTTGCAATTTTGACATTAATTTTATGTCACAGAAGAAGCCTTGGATTCTGACAAACCATCCTTTTGGTGCCTTTCCCGCGTGGGAGACTCTGACACCTCCTTCCTGCTGAAGGGGTGAAGCCCCTGCTGAGCCCGCAGCAGCAGGTACTTCTCACTGTGCTGGGTTCCTGTTAGATGCCTTCTTTCATGACTGTCTTATGAGGTATGATAAAGAATACAGTGGATGAAGGCTACGCTTAGCTTGCTTTTTAAATCAAATCATGTATTTTTGGTTTTTACTCTTCTCTTTATAATTAATTTTTAAGCAGTAGGATCAGGATGAGTTCATCAGATAACATGACCTAGAGGAGTTGAGACAATAAAGTCCCCCTAAACTGGACTAAAGCCCCCATCATTGTAGGAAAGAGTCCTCTCCAGCCCTTCCTTCCTGTCTTAGTTTTCTTTCTTTTTCTTCCATCTCTTTTTAAACACATGCTACGTGTCAGGCACTGTGTGGACACCTCACAAACCATGTTTTCTCTACCAGTTCTCAGGAGAGGAAACTAAAGTTAGAACCAGGAGAACGGCCCAAGGCCATGGAGACACAAGTAAGTTGCAAGGGTGACTGCTTCTAACATTGCCTCCCCTTGCCTACCCTCTGACCACTGCTGAACTTGCTCCCCATCATGTCTGTAGGGATGTCTTTTACCTGTTGCCCTTTTAGCACATCATCTTGGTGAAATAAATGCCTTAACAAAAAGAGATTATTGTAACAGAGATACAAGGGGTGATATAAATCTACAGTGAATGTTTAAATTTTAAAAATACTTCTCCTCCCTTATCTGATGGTTCTTGCCACCTTCTGAAATAGTGTTAGATGCCTTCTTTCATGACTGTCTTATGAGGTATGATAAAGAATACAGTGGATGCTGCTTCCCAGCCATCCAATGGAAAGGCAGCTAATGAGACAACTCAAGGCATCCTCATCCATGTGATTCACCAGATTTTATGCTGTATGACTCCTGGCTCTTCCCCAAAGTCCAAATAACTGTGAAGGTCAATATTTTGAATCCACTTAGGCCATGACAGTGAACCTGAAAGATTTCCTGAACTGCTGGAACAATGGCCAGAAAGATAGATTATGTGTGTTCAAAGCATTGGGGATGGAGGGTGGATTTTGAGGTGGATTAATGGCCAAGTGCCTTTTACTGTAAAAAATTTTTAAAACTTTAAAACTTTGAATACTTACCATTTTTTCAGGCACACCCTATATATTGCTAAAGGCAGTAAAATGGAAAAAATAATCTTTTAGACAGCATCCTATACATTTTTCATTGAATTTATTGTGAATTTTCCTGTCAGTTTTCACTAGTCAAAGCAATATTTACTTAAGATCCCTTCTGGTTTGTTTGCTTATTTGTTTGTTTTGTGGCACTGGGTGTTGAGCCCAAGGCCTCTACACTGAGCTACATCCATCACTTTTAAAAAACATTTTTTTAAAAAAGCATTTTTAAATTTTAAACCAGGATCTCACTACATTGCCTAAGCTGAAACTTGACCTCGTGACCCTTCTGTCTCAGCCTTCTGAGCCCCTATGATTACTTTGTGTGTGTGTGTGCACATGCACACACCCTTCTGTTACATTTTTATGCAAAAACCTTATAAAATGTAGAAAACCTCTGAAGAATCCATAAGTATTTCCAGTGCTGTCCATCTTTACATGTTTTTCATGTTATAAAATGTGCACATCTAACCTAAAAATGTAATTACACTTTCCACTGAGCAAAAGTCCTGGTTTCTTGATTTTTACAGTTAAAATTTCTACACTTGGAGTTAAGAAACCCGACCTTTTGCTGAGCAGCCAGTAGAAAGAACTCCAGGAATGCAATGTGTGAGTACAGCAGTTTCCTTACTGAGCTCTAACTGTTGAAAGGCTACTCCAGAGGCAATGATGAGCATTCGTCAGATGATCTTGAGCTTCTGTCATATCTTTTGATTTAAAGATATGTTTTCAGAGAAAGATAGAGAGCCCCCACCTCTGCAGAGAAGTCTTAATTTCTTTGTATAAGTGGCAGACGATGTAAACTAACAAGGACATGGAATTTCACTAAACAGAATGAAAGGAATTCAACAACGGTTGTTGCATTGCATACTGTTGTCTTCAAATTAGTGAAATTCTATGTCATTTTTATTTGTTTACTTTTAAAATTTCTCTTTAAAAATAAAAGAAATTATAAATGGCATAACTTGGCAATTTAAATGTGACCCGTTTTGCACAAAATTCAAGAAGTGGACTCTAATATTTATGTGCTATTTGATTGAATGAGAAAAAGCTGTTTACATTTAATGCTGATCATAATAACACACGCAGCATTTTTATCCAGCACTTGGTGCTCTCGTAGCTCGTACCTATTCCTAATCTAAAATCAACATTCCTGAGCATCTGGGCGTCACTCCCCTGATCCCGTGGGCTGCATGACCAATTCTCCCTATTTGAGTTCCTTTCTACATCGCCCTCCAAGAAGTTGGGGCTGTAATGTTAGGCTCTTCCTTAGCTTAGCCAATTCTCTTTGGATGCCATTTCCCCATAGGGCTCCGTGTGACCAGGTGGACACTGACGGGGGAGAGAGAACATGAGATAACTGAGGGACGCTCGCTTCAAGCCAGCAGCCAAGCTGACTGCTCAGCACCTGGATGGGGAAAGGCCAGGGTCAGGGGCTGGGATGTGCTTAGCACTGCACTCTGGCTTTCCCTGCACACCCAGAGGGTCCAGAAGGGCAACCAACTGCCATGTGCAGACACCCTCCCTGGAATCAGCTGCAGTAGACAGGCCTGGGTCTGCACCGGGTAGCCTAGACTGTTACAGTTTGTGTTGACATTTGTGTGAGATGTGATTCCAAATAGAACTTGATCTTAAAGTATAAGCCCAACTTTTCATTATATCAAATATTCTATTAATATCTTTCAGAAACTTCCTTAGTAGGCAAGAAGAACATACTATGTTAACTGACCATTTTAAATAATTGTTGTATGTTTTTAATCATTTCATTACCATGATTATTATACCGGTGTGTTGTATTTGTTCTGTTTATTCTCAACTGTAGTGCAAGAGCTCACAGTTACTATCAATGCTAATATTAAGTGTTTAGTGTTAGTTTAAACATCTTTTATGTGTATCATCCATTTCCAGATCTACATCAGTATCTCTTTTAAAAGTGGGCTTTGAGGTCAGGTGTAGTGCCAGATGCCTGTAATCCCAGCACTGGGGAGTCTGAGGCGGGATTGCTGCAAGCTCGAAGCCAGCCTGGACTACAAAGTGAATTCAAGGCCAGCCTGAGTGAGACCCTGTCTCAAAAAGATTAACATATTCCCTCCTTTTTTGTCTTTCCAGAATAGCACCATGCCAAATTACAAACTGATTTAGTTCAATATGAAAGGGAAGGCAGAAATTATTCACTACATATTTGCCTATTTGAACATAAAGTATGAAGATCACAGGATAGAACATGCTGACTGGCCTGCAATCAAGTCAAGTAAGTAGCATAAGTCCTATTTCATGAATCTGTAACCCACTGGAAAGAAAATGAACTCCCAGAGTAGTTTGTCCTTCTTGAGGGATAAAGAAAAGAAAAGTTTCTCTGGGCTTACCTAGGTTCCCAGTCTTAGCAGTTTTAGCTTGAGAAGTGACAGTCCAGATAAACTAAATGAATGCTATGTGGCTCTACAGATTTTCTCTTACAGGTCAAAACACAAACCTCACAGAAAAATAATACAGGGCCAGGGCTATAACTCAGCAGCACAGTACCTGCCTGGCAAGCACAAGATCCTGAATTTGATTCCTGGTACAATCCATCAATCAACAAATAAGTAAATTAATAAATAAATAAAAATAAAAACAAACCAGTATACCCTTTGTCAGGAGAGCTGAAATAGATGTGGGACATATTATTGTTTTTAGTTCATAGTTGGGATTAACAACACAAGGTTTAAGTCATCTTTCCAGTTGCATGATTGTGGCAAAATCAAATCAGATCCATTTAGTACTGTGGCCCAAATTATTTATAGTAGACAGCACCAACATTAATATTGTGTATGCTAATTGGCATGTTGGCAATAAATCACCACCTGTGTTTTGGAAATGTGAGCTCCTTTTAAACCATTGTCCCTGCAATCACTTCTCATAGTAGAAATCCGTCCTCTGAAGGAAAGCACAGTCTTATTTCTT